GACATTGTATTTTGATAGTTCCACATCCACGCAAAGTGTACCTGTGAACAAGAGCAGGGACACAGACCAGGCAGGTCATTCCTGCAGCCTCTGGAAGTTTCTGGACCTGGATTTATTATTCATTATGGATTTTGATCACTGAGGAAGCCTTTCTTGTCTCTCCTTGCTGTTCTTGGGAACTCTGCATTCAAATGGGTGTATCGTTCCTTTTCTCCTTTGCCTTTTGCTTCTCTTCTTTTTTCAGCTATTTGAAAGCCCTCCTCAGACAACCATTTTGCCTTTTTGCATTTCTTTTTCTTGGGGATGGTCTTGATTGCTGCCTCTTGTATGATGTCACGAACCTCCATCCATAGTTCTTCAGGCACTCTGTCCATCAGATTTAATCTCTCGAATCTATTTGTCACTTCCATTGTATAATTGTAAGGGAGTTGGTTTAAAGGCAGGAGAAGGGGATGACAGAGGATGAGATGGTTGGAAGGCATCACCGACTCAGTGGACATCAGTGTGAGCAAGCTTCAGGAGTCGGTCATGGACAGGGAAGCCTGGCAGGCTGCAGTCCATGGGGTCACAAAGAGTCGGACATGACTGAGCAACTGAACTGAATTGCAGTGATGGTTTTTGAGATTATTCATTTTTCTCTTTTCTGTGGGCCGAAGAATTGATGCTTTTGAACTATGGTGTTGGAGAAGACTCTTGAGAGGCCCTTGAACTGCAAGGAGATCAAACCAGTGAATCCTAAAGGAAATCAACCCTGAATGTTCATTGGAAGGACTGATACTGAAGCTGAAGCTCCAATACTTTGGCCACCTGATGAGAAGAGCTGACTCATTAGAAAAGACTCTGATGATGGGAAAGATTGAGGGCAGGAGGAGAAGGGGATGACAGAGGATGAGATGGTTGGATGGCGTCACCTATTCGATGGACAAGCTCTGGGAGATGGTGAAGGGCAGGGAAGTCTGGCGTGCTGCAGTCCATGGGGTCTCAAAGAGTTGGACACCACTGAGCGACTGGACAACAACAACAACGATAAGATTCTCTTAATTGTGACGGTCAGGATCACTTTCTTTTCCTCTCTGTGTACCTGGTCCAACACATCAGGATCTAACATCTCAGGGTAGGATTGCCAGGGGGCAGGGTGGGATATTATTATTCCAATTATTGTGAAGACATTCCAGTTGAGCTTTAGAGCAGGACGTACCATTGGAAATACATGCTGGTAGGGAAGATACCGCCAGTTCTGGAGGGGAGTAAAGACCCGGGATGAGACCCTAGCGGCCCCACCACAGCCTGGACCGACTGCTTCCTCCCTGGGTGGGGGACAGGGGATGGAGGCAGCTTGGGGTGGGGAGGGATACAGAGAGGAGTCAGCGATAGAATCTGGCTTTAAAGGGGCTTACGGCATAATGAATGAGCTGGGACGTAATTACAATTACGATACAAGTTAAAACGCGGCGAGTTTTGTGGGAGGGATAAAAATAAAGAACTGTGGGGGCTTAAGGGGGAGCGATTTTTTTGGGGAGGATCAGAGAGCCACTGTCGTGAGACATTGAGCTGTGGCTTTGCTACTGACTTCCAGAAGCCAATAAATTTTGTAATCTTAATTTTCTAGATGTTCTCAAAGCATGCAGCCTATTCAGCTCTCTCAGAGTTGAACTTAAAGAGCAGGGAGAAAATTAAGATGGAGAAGCTCCTGGCCTAACACGGCGTACTGCATGGCACTGCATGCTTTTTGTGCCTCTGGAGCTTGCTAAAGGTCATGCTTTCCGTCTCGTCACACTGAAAAGACAAAATTATTTTGCATTGGGTTGCTGTAATAAACTCCCTTTCTTTTTAATTGCTTGGCATTCATAAACACTGCTTATGCTCCAGAAGAAGATACTTTGATGATTGCTTAGAGTGTGTGAGGGGGGAAGGAAGGAAGAGAGAGAACAGAAGAGAAAGAAAAAGAAAAAAGAAGAAAGGAAAGGAAAACCAAAGGGCAGGCAAGCTGAGAGAGACATCTTAGAAATGAGATCATCTTTTCATGTGTGCAATTTAATGATTTCTTTCGTTTGAAGCGATGTAAAAAGCAAGTAATTATTGTTATTCCTAATATCCTAATGCCAAATTGTAAACCAGGGGCTCTGGAGAAATAAATGGGGTGCTAGGACTTAATGATCCTGTGTGCGATAGATCATGGGTGATAAGATATATTAGTGCCATTATATAATTTGATCAGGTAGCCAAGAAGCATGTCAGCAGGCTCACTTGCATTTATGTGTCTGTTTGCTGGGTGCTCTGAGTTCCTCGCCCTGGAAAATAAAAGCAATTTGCAGAAATGCACGTGGCTATGGGGAACCTCCCCGGGTGAACACCTCAGGCGTTCTGGAAGGCTCCGTCCCGGGAGTGGGTATCAGAGGCTCCCCCTGCAGCCGGTGAGGCTGCTCGTCCCTGCCGCCCTGGAAATGCTCAGCGGGTAATTAACAAGTCACAAGGCACAGGTGTGCCAGGTGAAGTTTGCTAAATTGCTTTTGATCTAAATTGAGATGCTTTGGGGATTTAACTTCTTAGACAAAAAAGGGCATAAATAAATAATCAGGGTTTTGAGGTTGGGGCTTGCCAGCGAGCTCTAAAACGTCTTAATGCACTGGAGGCCAGCCCTCGGCTCGCCCGGCGTGCCGTCACGTCGGTTCACCTGATTAGCTTAGAACTCCGGCTTGGCAGCATGTCCTGGGAGTGTGGAGGCGCGCGGCTTGCTCTCAACGCCTGCAGTTTCCTCGCTGACCTCCTCAGAGGGAAAAGGGGAAGAGACACGAGTCCCTGAGCGGTTAGGATGCCAGCCCGGCATCAGGGGTCATGCTGATGGAGGGTGGGGGAGTGTGCCAGCCGGGGGGCCCTTGGGTGCCCACTGCAGCACTGGGCAGGGGGCCCGTGTGTGCCAGGCTCACGTCACGTGCCCGCGAGGACCGCTGGACTCGGAGACCGCAGGGGTCGGAAGGGTGATGCTTGGCCCTTGGGGGCGGGACCACAGGGATGACAAGGGTGCTGGCGGCTCTCTCGAGCCTTCCAGACTATTCTCAGGCTCTCTATGCTGGACTTGGGGGCCGCCCCCTGTGGGCCGTGACTTCTGTCACGAGGGAGCAGCGAGGGGTGGTGAGGGGCCAGCGGCAGACCGGTTCCCTCCCTGCCGGGTCGGGGCTGTAGGGACCCTTCCACCTCCCTGGGCCAGTGGTCTTTGGAAGTGGGTCTCCCTGGCCCTCGGATGATGGCAACCAGGTGGCCCACGTGGTGAGACTCCAGGGGCGCTTCATCTCCGCGGTCAGGGCGAGCCTGCGGGGCGGCGAGCCTGCGGGGCCGCGAGCCTGCGGGGCCCGGATCGCACGCGCGCTCAGCTGCTCTGTTCACAGTGGGCTCTTCTCCCCACTGCGTCTGTGCTGACACCACAGGCCGCCTCACCCAGGCGCTCGTGCATCATCCTAGGAAAGCCCCGACGTGCCAGGGTCGTCTTAGTCAGAAAGCACATGACCTTGGCGAGAAATCCGCTCCTCCGCTGGAGCTCACTTGGGTCGCATGCAGCGTGGAGTTAATGTGTCGATTGTTTTGCTTGGTTTGCTTATTCACCCACTGGGCACTTCAGCAGGAAGCGGAACTCTGCTGGGCAGAGGGGATGCGCAAGCATCAGAGGGCATTCTTGCCAAAGTGTGGACGTTAGCCAGTTAATCCCACTAGAATGTGAGTGTCACCTGCCTGGAAAAGCAGAGCATGTGAAGACGTACAGAGGGGTAGGGGAACTTTGTGGGGGCGTGGCATTCAGCGGAGCAGAGCCCAGGGCAGAGGAGTCTGTGGGAGGAGCAGCCTGTGCAAAGGCCCTGGGGTGGGACGAGGGTCAGAGACGCAAGGTGTGGGCTTGGTGAAGGCTCACGTGGGGGCAGGGGCAGGTGTGGGGTTGATCTGGGGGGGTCTTGGAAAACGTTGGAGGTTTGGGGCACACGGTGACCAGCTCAGATTGTGGTCAGAAGATCACTGAGGGTGGGGGTGGGCGTGTGGGCGGGGTCTCGGGTTTAGCATGGGGAGACGGGCTGTCAGGAAGTGTATGACAGCGACCCCTTTATTGGAAACCCGGCAGGCCTTTGGGAGCAGCTTGAACGTGGATTTGGGCTGCTCTAGAGGGGGCCGTCCAGAAGGAGCCCTGGGGTACAGGTCCTGCGGGGTGAGGCAGGGGTCCTCGGGGGAGGCTGATGGGGAGGAAGTTGTCACTTATTTCCAGAGCCTGCTGATGCCCTCGCCGTCGACTCTGACCCTGAAATCGTGTGTGGTTTCGCTGACTGGGTGCTATGCCCATGGCAGATGTGGTCTGGGGGTCTTACCCTATTTTGGTTCATGGGGGCTTTTGAAGATGAAACCATCAGGCAGAAATACAACCTAGTAAGACCTGTCATCACTTGGCTGGCACGAACAACTGTCAGGGAGGTCAGGAAAGGAGAAAGCGGTGTGTCCCCCAGGTCCAAGAAGGCCTCCTTACCCTGGGCAGAGAGCTCCCTGCGGTGGGCACAGTGCTGCTCTCTGAGGGGCACACACCCGTCCTCTGGGGTTCCCGTGTGCCGGCACCCCTGTTGCTGTCTCTGTACCTGCTTTGTGAGGACTTGCACGGGGATGGTGGTTGACCTCCCCGCGCCTTGGCCCCCGAGGTCACCACAGCCAGCCTCCCAGGGCCAGCCTTTGCAGCTCTGCCTTTCTCTCCCACTGGCCAGCAGGCCTGAGCTTCCCCCAGCATCTGGCTCCAGCCCTGCCGATGGTGTGCTAGGCCTGCAGTCAGTCTGTACCAGGGGGATGGGCTCGAGCAGACAGCGGGGGGAAGGATGCTCCGGGGCGGGGGTTCCCGTGGCCTGCTGTCGGGGCCCCAGCTTGGAGCCTGGCACGGGCTCTCACGTGAGCAGAGCAGGAGGAGAGCCCTGACCTGGCCGCAGGGCTGAGCCCAGAGGTCGGGAGGTGAGAGCGCGCCCGCTGGGAGGGCCAGGGACATGGGGCGGCAGCCTCAGCGGCTCCACGCCACGCTGCCGCTCCGGGCCCTCAAGTCCACGCAGGGTGTCCACACCGTCTCAGACACCCACACCTCCGGGCCAGGGCGGCCTGGCTGGAGCAGCAGGTGGGTGCTGCTGGGACCCGCGAGGACCCCAGGGAACCGACCCACTCCCACTCTCCTCCCCGAGACGGCTCCAGGGACTCCGTCTCCCCAGAGCCTGTGGACGCCCCCTCCTGACCCGGTGTCCTCTCTAGGGGCCCAGCTCGGGGTCCTGCCGCCCTCAGCCTTAGCCGCCTTCTCTGGGGTTCGTCAAGAAGCACCTGCTTTACAGACCAACGCTTCAATGCCTCCGGAAGCTTCAAGTTCAAAAACACTTTCCAGAAACCCCTTTAACGTAAGAATCTTTGCTCAGATGGATGAGCCCTGATGTTCAGCATTTCCCTTCTTCATATGGCCTGTTTTATGAATATGTTATGTTGATATCATATACTTATGTACTGTTATGTGTAACGTTATATATGGGCTTCCCCGGTGGCTCAGCTGGTAAAGAATCCGCCTGCAATGCAGGAGACCTGGGTTTGATGTCTGGGTTGGGAAGATCCCCTGGAGAAGGAAAAGGTTACCGACTCCGATATTCTTGCCTGGAGAAACCCATGGACTGTATGGTCCATGGGGTGGCAAAGAGTCAGACACGACTGAGCGAATACACCTTGATATTGCATTTATTTTAAATCAAAGCAGAGGACAGTTACATTGTCATAATTTTCAAGCAGTAATGAGAGCTGATACAACAGCCTTACGACAGAGCTGTGTGTTTTTGAAGCAGGCAAGCCGTAGGAGGTTGTCTCCAGACACCTGAGTTGCTCGTCACACGCTCAGGGATTCACTGGTCCTGCCAAGGTCGAGGGGCTCATCGTGTGATTTTACGGCTTGTTTTGTTTTAACTTTCCGGAAACTCAGCACTGACTCCTCAGAGGGTGACATCTACATGTTTACATGTCAGGGTGTTTTGTTTTAGGAACTTTAGTCTAACCCCTGAATTTCTGCATCTCAGATGTACTGGGAATCACCAGTCATGGCCGACTCTGTGACCCCGGGGACCGTAGCCCGCCAGGCTGCTCTGTCCATGGGATTCTCCAGGCAAGAACACTGGAGTGGGTTGCCATGCCCTCCTCCAGGGGATCTTCCTGACCCAGGGATCGAATCCGGGTCTCCTGCACGGCAGGCGGATTCTTTACTGTCTGAGCCACCAGGCAAGCCCCAAGTCGGCGGTTCCTTTTCCTGAACAGCGTTAAGGAGAAGTCACTGTGAGCGTGGTGAGCGTGGCGAGCGTGGCCCGCCCCCCTTCCTTCCCTGGTGTCTGGTCCCAGGCGCAGCCCTTTGGCTCGACTGTTACCTGGGCAGACTTGTTGCTCGATGGAGTCAAATGAGGCACGCTGTTGACCCTGATACAGGCAGCCTTAGGAGAAGAGTTCATTTTCATCTTCTGTTTCCCAAATGAAGCTTTAAATCTAATTGGATCTTGAAATAACTGTGATATGGTTTCTCTAAGTAAAGGGCCTCTCATTTAAATAATGTTCTTATTTGTTTATGTGTGTGATTTACAGTAAGTGATGAAATTCTTTGCGGCTGGCACACGGAAGGGATCCTCTGCGGGGAGCACTTTGAGCAAGTTATAAACCATTCTGGACACACAAATTTAATTGTTATCACATTTAATAGTGCAGCAGCAAATCCCCGACCCCAGGACCCAGCGCGGGCTGCCTTTCATATAGTGGAGGCTTGAGAAAAAGTTTCACAGAGTAAGTGAACTCACACTCACCTGCCACCTGCATCAGGATAGAGCAGCTATTTTATGAACGTTCAGCTTCTTCAGGAGTTTTCAGTGGGGAGGCTTGAGGGGAGGACTCCTAGATGGTGTCGCTCGTTTCAGCCTCTGAGCAAGAAGGGTCCACCCAGACCTGTACCTGGGAGGCCTCTGAAGTGGTGGACGGCCGAAGTGCAGGAGGGCGGGGCTGGCTGGCAGGAAGTGTGACTCAGGCTGCTGGAATGTCCCACTTGTTTGTTCCCAGTCCTGCTGGAAGGGTTTTTCTGCTTTTAGTGGAATAAGTTACCTTACTCAGGGCCTCAAGCTACACCTTCAGATGGATTTGCGGAACATCCAGAAACAGAACGTCTGCCTAAGCATTTTTCCATAAATTATATATCATTGTTTAGTTGCTAAGTCGTGTCCGACTTTTTATGACCCCAGGGACTGTAGCCGGCCAGGCTGCTCTGTCCATGGGATTCTCCAGGCAAGAATACAGGAGTGGGTTGCCATTTCCTTTTCCAGGGGATCTTCCCCACCCAGGAATTGAACCCACATTTCCTGCATTGCAGGTGGATTAGAGTTCAAATGTATATATACATATACATATATTTGTAAATTTAAAAAATGGATTTCCATGAAATTTGCTGTGAGATGAGAAGTTCAGCAGGCTCACAACCCACAGGACCACTGTCCGGGCAGCGAGTTCCAACAGCCGTGGCTGGCACTGGGCATCGCCCGTGGTGCTCTGAGCCCCCAGGTGTGTGTACGGTCCTCACGAAAGGCAAGATGGCCCATGGCGACAAATACTGAGGGGCTGTCACCACGTTTAAAGAGCGTAACCGGCTCTTGAACTTGGAAGAGCTGAGCCTCTGGCTCCTCAGGAAGGCCTGGCTTCGTCTCTCCCCACTTTCTTCTCCAAGAGGCAAAACTGAGCCTTCTTACCCCACCACTCTGCGTGTGTGGCAGTCACCCAGTCATGTCCACCTCTTTGTGAGGCCATGGCCTGTACCGCCAGTCCCCTCAGCCCTTGGGATTCTCCAGGCAAGAAGACTGAAGTGGGGTGCCATGCCCTCCCCAGGGGATCTTCCCGAGCCAGGGACGGAACCTGCGTCTCTTAGGTCTCCTGCATTGGCAGGCGGGCTCTTTACCACAGCGCCACCGGGGAAGCCCCCCGCTCTGGGAAGGTCTGTAAATATTTGAGAGAGTCACACCGAAGATCGGAAAGAAAACGTGGCCCCACGCTCAGGTTTTCTCTGCGCTCCCGCCTTCAGGGAGCAGTGCCGTAATTAGGACAAAGGGATGCTTGAGATTATGCCTTAAATAAACTGGGACAGAACTCCGTTCAGCTCCGCCGGTTATTTTTATCTCCGAGGCAGAAGCACCGATACCAGTGTCGAGCTTAACTGGGCTCTCACAGAACGTAGGCAGGAGGGAGCTGGGGCGACAGCAGGCTCGGGCCTCGAGGCCAGGTCAGCAGAGGGGCCCGGGTGTCCTGCTTCCGGGGAGCGCAGCGCTGTGGCCTCGCTCGCCTCGGGACTCCGGGGGGAACGGAATAGCGGGCTCCTCCTCTGCCGAGAGACCCCCTGCCCGTCGTCTCCCCGTCTCCCTTTCTGGGTGAGCGGGACTGTTGGAGCCGACGTGGTGGCAGGCAGGCCCGTCTGGGCTTGGAGCTGCGGGCGTCCGCCCCCAGGTCCTCTGCAGACCCGCGTGAAAGAGGCCCTTTCTCCCGCCAGCCTTCGGGCTCCACGCCCTCCCGTCGGGCTTCCCGTCAGGCGGCCCGCGTCCCCGCCAGGCTCACGCGAGAAGGGCCGGGTCCCGCGCTCCCGGTCCCCAGGGTCCTGCCCGCACGGCCCGCGCAGGAGCGGGCGTCCTGGGACAGCGAGGTCCTCCGGGGATGCCGAGCTCCTTTTCTTTTCCGGATGGGAGCGCCCAGCCTGGGCGACAGCCTGTAGGCAGCTGCAGGGCTCTGCTCACTCAGGAAAACGAGACACAGCACCACGGAGGGGGGCAAGGAGCGGCCTGGAGGATGAATACGGGCATTTCCCCCCTTGTTTCAAAAACGACATTTTGGTAGCTGTTGGCACTAAACTTTCAGTTACAGCCTTGTAAGCCTGAGCGCACGAGACGCCCTTCTGAGTCTGCTCCGCGTCTATGAGAAGGGATGGCGTCATCGCTGGTCTCCGGGCGGCGGGGAGGCCGAGCAGGGTCGCGGTCATGGGAGGCGCCGAGTGCAGCCCCCGTGTACGGTGGACACTCACGGCCTGCTCGCTGTTAGCTTGTTTCTTAACTGCAGTCTCGTCTTGTTGATTTACACTGCTGTCTTAGTTTCAGGTGTCCAGCCAAGTGATTCAGTTACACACACACACACACACACACACACACACACATTAGTCAAAAAGACTCTCAGAAAGCACACACACATTATGTGTGTGCTTTCTGAGAGTCTTTTTGACTATAAGTTATTAAAAATATTGAATAATTTCAATACTCAGCTACACAGTAGGTCCTTGGTGGTTATCTGTTGTATAAATAGTGGTGTGTATCTGTTAGTTCCAAACTCCTGATTTATACCCCACCTCCTTCCTTCCCCTCTGGTAACCATAACCTCTTCTGTGTCTGTGAGTCTATTTCTGCTCCATAATTAAGTTCTTCTGTGTCATCTTTGATCCCACGTATAAGTGGTGTCACGTGACATTTGTCTTTGTCTGACCTGCTTCACTGAGTATGGCCGTTTGTAGGTCCATCCATGTAGCTGCCAATAGCATCATCTCATTCTCTTTTATGGCTGAGTAGTATTCCATGCGTATCCGCACCACATCCCCTTCATCATGTCTCTCTTGGTGGACATTTAGGTTGCTTCCATGCCCTGGCGATTGTAAATAATGCTACTGGGAACATTGGGGTGCACCTATCTTTTCAAATTAGAGTGGTTTGCCTTTTCTGAAAGTATGCCCAGGAGTGGGGTTGCTGGATCACAGGGCAGCTCCATCTTTAGTTTTAAGGCTCCTCCATTGTGTTCCCCACCGTAACTGCACCAGCATACCTCCCACCACCGTAGGAGGCTTCCCTTTTCTCTGCACCTTCTCCAGCATTGATTGATTGTAGATTTTTTAACAATGGTAACTCTGACTGTTGTGTAATGGATAATTCTGACTCACTGTAGTTTTGATTTACATTTCCCTAATAATTAATGATGTTGAGCATCTTTTCATGTGTCTGTTCGCCATCTGTACGTCTTCTTTGGAGGAATGTCTGTTTAGGTCTTCTGCTCAATTTTTGACTGGATTGTTTGCTTTTTTTTGGATACTGAGCTGCATGAGCTGTTTGCATATTTTGGAAATTAAGCCCTCAGTTGCATCATTTGCAAATATTTTCTCCCAGTCCATAAGTTGTCTTTTCATTTTGTCGATGGGGTTTCTTTACTGTGCAAATGCTTTTAAGTTTGATTAGGTCCCATTTATTTATTTTTGCTTTTATCTCTTTTGACTATGGGAGACTTGGTCATTTTTAGTTTTTCTTGTTATAACAATAACCTAAAGGGGGAACAGTCTCTTAATTAACTTCAATCTTTAATATTTTAATGAAGATGAAGGAATTTTGAAGGCAGTTTCTATAAAAGTCTCCTGTTAGCAAACACATGTCACATTTTGCTCTTACTTGGAGTTGAGAGCAAAGTGCTGAGTATCATCTAATGTAACTCTTCTCTGTAGTGAAATACTTGGTTGTTCATCTTCAACTGGGTTTTTCTCTGAGATTTGTCCTCCTGAATGTTATCTTAAGGTTGGGCTGAGGTTTGGAAGGCCACTCCTGCTGTTACTTGTCTAATATTAAAACAGGAAAGAATTGTAGGCACATGGTATCCATATGATGTGTGTGGATGTGTGTGTGTGTGTGTGTGTGTGCATGTGTTGATATGTGTCTAAGTGTGTCTGTGTGTGTTTGGCTGATTATAAATGATTGTAAAAGTTGAAATCACCCTGTTTCCATCCATCCATCCATCCCTCCACCACCCACCATTCCATCTATCTATCATCCATCCACCCATCCCTAATTTGGTCCTCAAATGCCTCATATGTGGACCTTGCCTCCACACCCTGAACTTCACATCATTAACCTTTCATATTTTGGGTCTCGCTCGGACATCACTTCCTCCGGGAAGCCTTCTGGATCCCAGACTGTAATTTCAGCAGATGATGTGAAGTTGTCAGCCAGCCAGACACTGTCTTCTTCAGAACCCACGCTACCCCAGCCTTGTATGGAGAACGGGATGACGGTGAGAGCGCGTCACCGCTCTCACCAGGTGACAGACTCCAGCCTGGAATCCCTTTAGCTTTCTCCTGGCCCCAGGCAGCGGTGCGGTGCCCAGGCCTCTGTCAACACGCCGCCACGTGGCCCCCGCTGTTGGGTCCCCGTCTTGCGGGATGCTTGGGCATCGCCCTGATGGGCTTTGCGGACTGTTTCCTCTGCCGGGAGTGACCTGTCCCCCCGCCCCACCCCCGGCTGGCCGTGTCTGCTCTTCTGGGTGTCCCCATCCCGGGAGGGCTGCACCCCGCGGCCAGGCCCTCCCCCTTCTGACCGAACCTGATGTGGCCCGTCCGCTCCCAGAGGCACCCACCTGCTTCTTGCTGCTCTTCTCGGATGACAACTGGCTGGAGGGAAGCGATGGTCTCGCTCATCTCTGTGCGATGCGTTTTGTTCATAATGGAATTTTGGATTTGGCGTGTGTTTTCCTGTTACTTTTCTCTGCAGTTACTGCTGAGCCGTTTCGCCCTCTCCTTTGTCAGATCAGCTTTCACGTCGCCTGGGGCCACTTGCTCGGCCCCTCCTTGGCTTAACCCGCACTCGCCTCCCAGCCGCGAGCAGGAGGCCGTGGGGTGTCCTGCAGGCCTGGAGGGTGGCCACGTCCTCCTCCCTGGTGTGTTCTGCCTGCTGCCGGCGCACTGCTGGGTGTGCCCTGGCAGCGCCCCGTTAGCAGGCAGGTATTCCGCGGAGCTGGCGCAGGCAACCCCCTGCCCTTTCTTGGCACTTAAACTGGGATATTGACTAGTTCACTAGCCACTCCTCAGTGACTTGAGCCTTTTCTCAAAGACAGGGAGGAGAGAGGGACCAGTTTGCAGCAAAGGGCAAGTTGGGATCTGTTCACAGCCCAGGGACAGCATGGTGGTGATGACCAGGGAGGGTCCCTGGAGAGAGGGGACCCTGCAGACTCTGGGAGGGGGCACCTGAGGGCCGTCCCAGCTGCCCTGACTGCCACCTACCTCCGCAGTGGCTCAGAGCATCATGTTTACCGTTGCGCGCTGAATGAATGTGCCCTGTTCCTCACAAGTGATGGGTCCCAGCCCAGACACCTTCCGAGCAGTGGTTGAGCCTGCAGGAGAATCTCCGTGTGGCTCTGGGTGCTCAGCTCCCCGGAGCCACAGGGGTGGGTACAAAACTTGCTCTGGTCATCGGGAGGATGGGCTGCTGGCCTGGACCTGGGAGGGACCATCGGTCATGAGCATGTCTCCGTGAGTGATGGCTGGTCCTGCCCAGGGCGGCGCTGGGCTTGCTGCACACGCAGGATGTGAAGGTCCCATGGGAAGGAGCCGGGTGAGGGCTCGAGAAGTCGGGGAGGGAGAAGAGAACCCCGTTTCAAGGCGGGCTTGAAGCAATTGCGTCATGGGCAGCTGGGTGATGAGACCCATGGGCTGATCCCACCCCGCGCATCTGGATCCCGGCCCAGGGGTGGGGTGCTCCGTGGCTCCTGCTTTCCTGGATTCTCAGGGTTCTCCCTGCTCCTCACTGAGGGCCCCGGTCACCCTAGTCCCCAGGAGTCCTTTGTACTGAGCTTTTCCTGTAGAAGTGAGTGGAGGTGTTCTCTCCTGCCCAGACCTTGCCTGCTGCTGGCATTTCTGCCGTCCTCGGCTGATGGAAGCCACACTGAGCCCACCTCCCCGCTGGGGGTGTCAGATGTTTGCCACCACCTCCTGACCCCACCCCGGGGTGAGGCGGGCATCCTCAGATCTGAAGGGCGTGTGGGTGGTGGAAAGACCTCGTTACTATGGCCCTTCTGGAAGGTCTGGTCTAGCCCAGCGTGCTGCGCTCAGACACTCGGTTTTGTGTGACACTTGCGACCCCATGGAGCCCGCCAGGCTCCTCTCTCCGTGGGGTTTCCCAGGCAAGAATACTGGAGTGGGTTGCCATCTCCTTCTCCAAGGGATCTTCCTGACCCAGGGGTCAAACCTGTGTCTCTTTGTCTCCTACATTGCCAGGTGGATTCTTTGCCAGCTGAACCACCTGGGAATCCCAGCTAACCCAATAGCGCTTTAACTGTGGAAAGTTCAGGTCTTATATAGAAGATGTACCATGGCAGACAGCTGTGGGCTGTATTATTTGTCAAGATGACCTCATAGCAGACCTCAGATGTCTCCATGATCAACAAACCAGACTTACCTCTGATTTCAGCCCAGAATCTCTTTGCAGGTCATGGCTTAATAATCCTGCTCTGTTAGAGCTGGTGAGTCTAGGTGTTAATACGATACTAGTAACTGTTCTTTTCCGAGCCTCTTCCTAGCTGCCAAGAACTATGAGAACCGTTTTCATGAACTGTCTCGGGAAGTTATCCCACACAGGGTGAGGCTGCCCCAAGCCTCAGACCAGGACGCTCGAGGTCACGTGGCCACTGATGCCCGGAGTCAGGACTCACACCCAGAATCCAGCAGCTGCATCCGTGGCGCCCCCGCTCAGTCCAGGGGGCCTCGAGGTGCTTCTCTTCCTCTGTGTGACCCTGCAGGTGTTTGAGGACAGCTGTCAGCCTCTCCAGGACCACCCTGGTCTTGGCTCACTGGCTCCTGGATTGGCAGTTTGTAGCACTGTACCCTTTCTGATGGATTCTCCCTCATCAGTGCTTTTCATCCATGACACCCACTGGACAGACGCTTCCAAATCGTCAGGGTGCTGTGAAGTTACTGAAATAGTTCTGAAGGATGTGGATATTTATGCATGGATATTTATATATATTCCATCAGAGAGATGAGGTGCAGACACCTGTCCGTCTGTGACATCTCG